ATTCCAGTGGAAACACGTGCTCGTGATGCGGCTTTGTTATTGTCTTTCTAATTCCTATTAAAATTTGTTGGTGTTTTTTCACCAAACCCTTTTTCTATATAGAGGTTCACGAAAATTTATATATAAATACACACATTGTTGCCGAAAAATGCTATGTGCATTGCTTCTGTGGTTTAGAGCAGCAAATGAAAGGTCCTCCTTTGAAACTACAAAACCAACAGGACAAGTCCAGCTGGAAACGTCCTGTAAGGTTATAAACAGTCCTTTTACTATTGCATCTCCCAAGGGACCACTGTCCTCGGTGAATACTCCACAGAAATCAGCGGCGCCTTGCAAATATAGGAGTCTAGTGGATTTTCAGCCAACTGTTATCCACAATGTTTTTAAGGAACATGATGGCCTAGCCAAAGCAGGCTGATTATGCTACGGCTACTCTAAAACCACCCGGGGCCTTCAACAGAGCTCGATTGAGGGAAGGTAGGTACAGTTCCGGCAAGCTTTAGATAGTCTATTACCTGGCGAAAATCTTGTCTGTGGCGAATAGAAGTTTTCTGGCTGAAAAACGACAAAGCTGCTGGAGCTGCACGGTACCGTTTGATGGTAGCACAGGGGAAGAAAGGCCAACTCTGTAATGAAAGGACCAGGTTTAGAAAGGCTTGCATTCGCTTGATGTTTTTAATAGCCATCAGTTGGTACAAAATATAATTCGATCAAAATCCATCCGCCAAAGAAGAAGAAAAAAATGAAGTAGTATCATACAAAGAAAATTATAAAAAATTCGGATCTTTCATCTCTGGGTTTTATTTTGATTGATTAACGTAAACATAGATTTTTCTGCTTCTGAGCAAATTGTTTCATCTACGAAATTTATCATACGACGTAGTTCACGAACATTACTCATCCACAGCGTCAACTTTTGTTATAAGTTTGCAACTGTAAATGAGCATTAGTAGCGTTACGAATTATCAACTGTTAGTGATGCACTTCTAAATAAGAGTATGTTGAAAGAAACCTCAAATGACAGGCAGCAAAAAGACGGCAAGCAATCGAAGCTCATTTGCTTGAATGCACAAACGCATAAAAAGAGCAAATGTTTATGTCTCTTGAAATGCGACTGCCACGAGCACACACAAGTACTTATTCTAAGGGGTATGCCTTGTATGCATGTATGTATGTATGTAAGTGGGTATGTGTGTATGTTACTTGCCGGATACTCGGTTTCAAAGCAAACAAATCCATACTTAGAGATATGTGAGCGTGCATTTACATTATTTTTGGAATGAATTCCTTTGCCGGACGAATCACTCAAAGCACAAACATTTGTATGCTCAGCTGTGAGAGTGTGCATTTTGGAAGCGTGCAAATACATTTGGTAAGCATATTTGCCCAGCAGAAAATATGTTTTCAAGTTCTCAGCAAATATGGTCGTCAGTTAGCAACTATCAAACCTGCTTTTTCTTTTCATCTTTACTTCTAAATTCATGCAAAGATATGTGTTAGTATGTGGGTGAGTATGAATAAAATTGACCACACAAAATTAACTGCAGTGATAGTAGTTGTTACTTTTGTATGTACATATGTATAGCCTACAAAAGTGCTGGCGAATTCTACATACTAAGTATGCGTGTAAGACAATTTTTTGGGACTGCAAATGAATGTTGGTTAGAGATTTAAAAATCAAGAAGATGTAGTAAAAAAGTCTCGGATATACCATTAGAAAGAATGTTTTCTCATTATTTCATTATAAAAGCGAAAATTTGCACCAAAGACGCCAAAACGCCGCGGCCGGTTTGTCATCACAAAAACAAAAAATTGTTAAGAGATGGCATAAATGTGTTCCAAAACCCATTATTTTTTAACTTTTTGTATGAAGCTTTTGTTGTTTTTAACTACATAAAGTAAATTGTGCCGCGATTTCTCATTTTACTTTCGAACAGAAAGACTGCTAGATCCATATATTAGGGATAAGCTGAGATAGTCAAGTCCATTGGTACCGTTTACGAGAAGGTATAATCCTAACCTTGTTTCGGTTACCCTTGGAGAAACCCTAGCTAGTTAGAATTTCCATTCTTAGCATAGCCACCAGTGTGATGTGAGCCTGTCGAAAACTCTTTCTTCGAAAATTGGGTTCTGAACTCCAAATTTACTAAAGTACGTCCGATCATAGCTTATGCTTGCATAGTCTGGTGGCATAAACATTGCAAAATAACTGCCGTTTAGCGTTTTAATAAAGTTTGGCTCTGCTCTCGGTTACAGGATCAATGAGAACGTGTTCAACCGGGTCTTAGGGTCGCTCCATATTTTTATCCAAGCAGCAGCACCTTTGAGGACATTTGAGAGATTACTCTTCATAATAAGGCACAACGCAAGGTCTAGGAATTTGCAAGCTCTCCAAATCTATGCTTAATTAGGTCTGCTTTGGAAGGAAACTCCAGGGCAAAGCTTTCCCGAATTTGATCCCAGTTAGTATACTGGTGCACAGATGGATCAAATATGGAGAGCAAAGTAGGTGCTGATGCCTTTGGATCTGGCACCAATTTTTCTATCACATTGGGTATTTGATTCACGGTCTCTCAGGCCGGAGTACTCGTAATCTCAATTTGTGCCAGATTGACACTTGGAAAAACTATCTCTTCAGAAAGCCCCTTTTCAAACAGGACGATAACCTCTAGGCTCGTTAAGTAGTACTTTGATACTTTTCAACTTTGGTAGGAAGGAGCACGGTATAACTAGGCTGGCACTGAGGGATCGCCGGTAACGACGCCGCCAACGTATTGGCTGGGGAGGGCTCATCGTCTATACTAGTGGGACCGGAACGGGAGACTCAAATTCGAAGCGTGTGTTAACACAGTAGGTAATGGTAAGAATTCTTGGTTATCCTTTTGCTAGGAAAGATATAGATCTTTTGAATAGGGTCAACATAAATTTGCTTATTAAATACCTAACCGGCTATGAACAGCTGTGCTCTCCGGATTGGACTATTCAAAGAGACACGTCTTTGTCTTGAAATGGGGGAGCCAGGGCACAATTAATTGAAGTAAAACGACGGACTGTGACCCATCCGTGCAAATTTTAACTGAAGCTCTGCCTCAGAAGCTATCAATCCCCCATTAACCCCTTTGATGATATCTGTAGAGAAGGATCTCTGATCGGATAGACCTACTCGGCGCGCATTAGGAATTAAGAATAATGTGAGTTCCACCTACATAGCGCTTTTACCGCATCCAATATAGATTTCTGTTCTGTATCACTCTAAAACATTTGACCCTGAGAGAGAGTATGAATGAAGCTATAACTCAAAAAAAAGGTTTATGTAAAGGATATTCCATTAATTCACCATTCATGTTTAACTCATATATATATGCGCACCTATATTAATACTCAAACTCATGATCATACTCATACTCATGCTTATTCTCTTAGTCATACTCATATTCATATTCACAGCCGTAATCATACTCATACTCTTAGTCAACTTCATACCCATATTCACACTCTTACTCGTACTCATACTTATATTCATGATGATACTAATACTATTGCTCATAATCTTATTCATATTATTATTACTTATACTTCTATACATCCTTTTACTCGTATCCATACTCACATTCGTAATCATACCTTACTCATACTCATACTCATATTCATATGCTCCACCCTGATATAATAAATTTATGTCCGAATTGTGCACATTTCCCCCACGACACCAAACAACTGTTTAACTGTCAATTTAAATCCACGCAGCAAATATCTTTCTGCCTCTGGTCCAACCCCATCGAAACAGCACATTTCCTAGCCGTACCGTTAGTTGAGCTTAACAACAACAACTAACTAACCGATTTAGTTGGGGTTTAGTAGTGCCTTTGCAACAACAACAACAACAGCGGCAAAAGTTCTTTGCGACAGTTTCGTAACAACTCCAGCGGAAAATTTTTCTATGGAGCATAAATATGTTTTTATAACTAAATATTTAAACTTTTATTGATAAACTCACATGTAAATACTTGCTATTAAAAATGTGTGCATGCGTAGGTTTGTGCCTTCACTTTTGACTTGTGGCTGAGTGTTTGCATTAAATTTTAGAACTGTTCATTTTCATTTCCATTTTCATTTTCATTTCATTCGCATTGCAAATGTGTTTTTGATTTGGTTGCCAAATCGTTCAGCAGCCGGTAGCCATCGGTGATTCAGTTTTCGTCCATCTGCTTGCCCCTCAACCGCTAACCGCTCTATGCATGTTTGTGTGTGCGTGTGTGTGTGTGTATACTCATATGCACTATTGATTTTTCAACATACCACTGTGGCATGTGAGCTCTACTACTATTTTGTGTGGTCAACTTGGCTTACCGGCTAACGGCCTGCCAATGTTGGCGACCACAACTGCAACGTTGCAAGTTCGTCCGTTCGCGCTAACTCAATTTTTGTGATTTTGGGTATTATTGTACCTATGTATGTATATACATACATATGTATGTAAAATGCACTCAAATGTCGAGGCTGCTTGCCACTAGGCTGCCATCCTCATTCCAGCTTTACTGCCAATCGCCAAGTGTTTTCCGCATATTCGTACTGTTATTCGGTCATTTGTTATGTGCAATATGATGCATGCCACATGCACCTCCTATTTTGATTTCACTACCACATTAGCCAGCAAGTTTTGTATGCCCGCCCTGCCTCTCCCGTAGCCCTAACACTCTTTAGTTCAATGTTCAATGTGCCACGCACATGTCCAGCAATTCGTTTGCGGTCGCCAATCTCCGCCCGAATCACCCGGCCACCCGGGCTTGATGACTTTTGAAGTGTGTTTGATTTGTTGCAAAATGTGCTGTGAGTATTTTTTTTTGTTTTTTGCTTTTTTGTGAATAGCATACTCTTTGCCCTCCCTCCCGGCGAATCAGTCAGCTGGCTCGCGTGTACGTTGACCACTATTTTGCTCTCCATATCCGGTCAGCCATGTAACCGCTGCTATTCCGCTCGCCCCAATTCCTAACGCTAACTTCATTGCTTGGCCATTTGACCGGCCCGTCCTGTTGTGAACGTAATTTAGTGGCCATTTTGTTAAATTAAATTTCAATTCCTGCACACAATTGCCCATTTTTGATTGAGTTTGTGTTAAACGATTTTTGAAGGACGCGCACATATACAAATATATGTACATATGTATGTGTGCGCATATGTTTATATTCCACTGCTGAGCTATGCGCGCCGTGAAATCAATCAAAGGTAAAAACACAAACTGCCCGAGCATAACCTCGCCGGGGGAGCATATTTGCCACTCATACACTTTTACATAAATATTTATGTTGGAGTGTGTGTGCCTTAGAGTAGCTATTCAACGCACTTAGTGCTACTGTTTTCGTTTTTGTTTTTGGTTTTGTGTGTGCAAACGCGTGGCAAATCAATTGCACTCCAAATGCAGCGATGCGCAGGAATTGGAAAATTTTAATTTTCGTTGATTTAATTAAAATTTTCAAGTCCATTTTTAGTTGTTAGTTTGTTGCTGTCGCATGTGACAGCGATTCCTGTTGCAAGTGGCATATTGCACACATTACGGTCTCCGTTGTTTTAGTGGGTTGATCTGTGTGAATTCGGGTTTACACTTACAGATTTTTAACCTCACTGAGTGGCAGCTTTTAAATTGATATTTTCATTTGGTGGCACATTTTAGACGTCGGCTTATATGTATGTTTTGCATAATGGGATTTCTGTGAACTATGCAAAACCGTTTGATTGCGGTAATGAAATTTACACCTGAATGATTTAAAGTAATAACCATGTTTGGAAAAATTAGTGAATTTTTGTGTTTTTTGTTTTTTAACTTTTGCTCTAAACTTAACGACATAAATTTTGAATATATTTATGGAATTCATTTTTGTTTACATTAGTTAAGCGATAAAGAAATTTAGTGGAAAAGCTTAGGTTTTCCCAATTTATTAAAAAAATAATAAAAATTTACCCGCTTAGTCTAGTTATTCGCAAAGAAAAATTTTAAGAAATTCCAGCGCAGTTTGCATTCTCCCATCATAGTAGGATTATAGACTACTTCTGTTTCTTATTTGACACTAAAACCGCTTATCGGCTCGGGCCAAGACCAAAAAACTTTGTGAATTGCTTATCTCCTTTGCAAAGTTCCGCCAAAGTGCAATCCGAGCCTAGTAGGTTCGTCTGCGATTGGTCTTTCCATTTCATTCATTTGCGTGCTTGCCTCACCTAATGTTCACCTAATGGTAATAAATCAAAGAATCTTTTCACGGGTGCATAATCATCCACACGTACGGCGTGTCAAAGACAGTGCAAGCATTGCATTTTTATGCGCTTAGCTATGTCGTTAGAAATCGGGTCCAACTCCTCATTGCATCTTCTTCGTCACCTGTTCAACAGCCTTGTAGCTCTATAGATTGGCGTTGAATAGATCCATCAAAAGCCCCCAAATCCTTTTTATTATAACAACTTTTATACGTTCAGATTGGGGGCTGTACTTTTCAATTACCTACACTGAGGGAAAAAAATATTAAAATCAAATAGAAACGTAATTGATCTTACTATAAACGTCAACGAAAGTACTGTATATTGGTAAATATTCAATTCAATTACGCGCATATTAAAATGACCTCGTTCATACTGAAAAAGCATCCGCGAAGTGAATAATCAAGACAAAAACTAAAAAAAAAAATTTAATTTGCATGTTGCCTGCAGTGGAATTCGAACCCGACCATCTCCGGATATCAACAACTTGTGGCAAGCATCTTTGCGCACTCAGCTACACCCAGACATATAAATTTGCTTTCAAATGTTGAATATCCATCAACACCACAGCACGCGATTTGTACTATGTATGGATGTGTGTGTTGTTGCCGCTCTCAGAGCGGCGCTCTGCATGCTTGGGGTGCGTATGTACACTTACATATACATACTCAGATGTGAACAGTCAAATACGTGCGTAATAAATTTTGTATGAAAATATTATTTTTAAATACGAAAATTTTTAAACGATAACCAAATATAAAGTATTCATTTTTACTATGCATTATTTCCCTCAGTGTACCAAGTTCTTCATTTGATGTTCACGCTGACATCGTTCTTGGTATTAATGCTGGAGCTAGGAAGGCACGGTCCCTCCCAACTTCTCGGTTGTGGTGTGGCTAAGGTCAACGTGTTTCCCGAAATGCCAAGCTCTTCTCACTCTTTCCTACCTTTAAAAAAGTCTCTCTTCCTTCCCTTTTTTCCTGATACTGATCAATTACCGTGCGTATCATCATTGATTGGAGGGTGGTCTAATATGCAAAAACAAATATCTCCCGATCCAAACCTGATAGTGACATAAACTAAACGGTAATATAAAGGCCAGATATTGTTTAATAAGGGAAAATTATTCAGGGTATTCAAGAAAAATTTATCGATCTGGAATTCCAAGTTCAAATTACAATTCAAAAAATATATATCGGACGTCCCATGTCAAAAGGACCAAAGCTCTGCCCAAAATTCTGTGGGATAGAAATTGACGTAAAGCATGTCAAAAGACTCGTAAATTTATGATATATCAAATAGGATGTGTAACGCGCAAATAAATTTGTCATTCAGTTTTTGAAAACAGTTGTCAGGTATTAGATCAAGGCGGATTCTAATGTTTTTTATGGTCGCTGATCACGAATGTACAGTCAGCTTTTAAAAATTCTAAATAGCGGTTCCAATATGAAGGAAGATTTTTAAAAAAATTTATTGGATTCATATAGAACTCGTTACTCGTGGCATATCGGGGACGTTGATTACGAATCTGTAGTCGGATTAGAAAAATTCGAAATGGCGGAGCCAATATGGGGGACAAAAAATTCAAAGCCGTTTGTATTCTCTTAGAACTTTACTATCTTTATGTCACTGATCATGAATCCGAAATCAGATTTAAAAAATTCTAAATGGCGGACACATATTGGGGTTCCCATTTATCATGGAAATTTGTAATCAAACGTACCTACATGGCGTATGAGTTACCCAGCCGAGATGAGAATGTTGCACTTTTCGTCACGTCACTTATTTTTGCTTGGATGGGTTAGCTAGACCCCTCTTTTGCAGCATACCGAAGTGATTGAAGGATGAAGTATTTTAATACGGTTGACGAGGAGTAGTTGAGAAAGTTTTTGATCGTCATTCACCAGGGAGTGGCCAAACACAACTCTTTTGCGTCCGGTTCAAGCAAGTGATTGTGCGCAAGATTTGAGGTCCGCTACTTAAAAAAAAAAGCCAATGAAAGGGAGAAGAATGCCTCGCATGAGACACTTTTGTTTTGGTGACGGCCACGGCAAACATTTAGCGGGCTACGATTTGAGGGCATTCAGCTGCACGTCTGGTTTATGTCCTTGGGAAGACTAAGTGTGACGTCGCATAATGAGACTACAGCAGCCAGAAGTAGTGCAAACGGATTAGCGAATTCGAAAAACCAATTAAGCGAATTCATAGAAAAATGTCCAACTAACCAAAAACAAAAAGAATTATTATTCCTAGGAAGCGAGCTAAATTAAATATAGGACAAGTAAACATTAAATATGCGTGTCTTATCTGAAATATATCCAAATGCGAGGAACTGCAAGTTCAGCCTATATTCTTCTTTTCATAGACAAACCTCCTGTATAATTTATTGAATATTTATTTATTCTATAGCCGAAGTAAAGGACTCTGATATGTACCTAAAATGGAAATTGAAGAGAATTATAAGTGGATCTATTAATTAGATTCAGCGATCAGCCAAAAGTGGATGCTTCTCTGGACGAGATCCGCTTTCATTGGCAAAAGTCCTGCTTGCCTTAGCTTAGCTTTTGTTTTATAAGATGTAGGTCAAACTGATAGTTTCAGTGCAAATATATATCACGCAGATAATTTGGTATGCACGCATTGTAAATGTTTTCATTTTATCATTTTTAAAAGGAAGAAATAGGAACGTCCTTAGAAATAAAATAAATTTGTCTGTTTATTTTCCCTAAAATTCATAAAATTTAGTACTTGGGGCTGAAAAAATTTTGTAGGAGGTTGGCGTCATAGTAAAAAACTCTTCATTATAAAATGAGTGATTTCGATACTTTTTCGCGTAAATAAGCGTTCAAATAATTGATTTATTTCTTGTTGTGCTTGTTTCTGGAACTCCATTGATTGAAATAAATGCAAAAAGAATACTTTAGCGTTTTTTTTCTCAGCCGAGAGAAGGCATTGACACAAAAAAAACCAGTGAGATTTATTTGATTTTTAGTACGGTTACAATTTTTGGCCGCATGTTATATGGGGACATTCCACTGTGTGTCGGCGTAATCCAAGAAATGCGATGGAGGGGACCAGACGAAAAATAAGTGGGGCCTTACAACGTGTACCACAGCAGCCATGTAAAGGAGAGAGACTCCGTCGCCGAGAATTGTCGTTCACCCCAGTTAATGTTGTACAGGGCGTATGAGTGACATTCCTTTCCAAATAACCTATCCAGTATCCCCAAATTTATATGTACATATGTATGTATGTGCAGTGGCTTTCAAAAATGTATGAATGGTTTTTCGTTTTTAATATTTAAAATGTTTTTAAAGCTAAAGTTTTTCTGATATTTTTTTTATAAAAATATGGTTCGTGCTTTAACAAAAACTATATATAACACACATTTTGCAACTTTATACAGAGCTTAGAAAAATTCCACAAATTTGTATCTAAATTTCGAGCTTCTTAACCAGAATTCTTAGAATTTTTTTGGGTATGCAGTTAACAGGCTCAAAAAATTTTAGTAAAGCAAGTTCAAGTTTTGAGCGCCCAAAAAAACGCATTGATTTAATTTTTTTTTTGTGGCGGCTTTTGCAGTTCTTTTCATAAAAATAAGGAATTTAGTAAAACCGGCGTTGACTTTTTCTATTTTCTTCGCAAACGGTCTTTCGCATATTCTTCCACAAGAAATTCATGTTTAATATGGAAAAAAGTGCAAAATGCCGCTATAAAAAAAAAAACAAAAAATATTAAAAATCAATAAGATTTTTCAGCTGCTCAACACTTCCAATTATTTTAATAGAATTTTTTAAGCGCATTGATT